TTTCCAAAGGACAGCTTTATAAAAATAGAATTCATATACAATAAACTGTACATATTTAAAGTGTATAATTACATAAATTTGATGTATGCAGACATGAAACCCTCACTTATAATCAAGATAGTGGACATATCTGTCACCCCCAAGTATTTCCTCTTGCCCATCTGTAATCCTTCTCCTCTCCAACCCCTCTACTCACTCAGCTGCCAGAGACCTATTTTCTGTCACTACAGATTAGTTTGCATTTTTTAGTTTTAAATAAATGAAATTATAGTTTTTTTAGTATGATTTCTTTCAGTATAATTTAAACATGCCATTGTGCAAGTAACTTCTTTCCATTTATTTGCCAAGTAGTATTCTATTATAAAAATATATCACAAATTGTTTCTCCATTTACCTGTTCCTAACTGAAATGCCTCCCTCCTCTTTTTCTTCTGTATTGTACTGGCCAGAAGCTGTATTATGATGCTGGATAGTAGTAATGAGTGCACATTCTTGTCATTTCTGATTTTAGGGGAAAGAACTCAGTCTTTCACCATTAAGTATGAGGTTAGCTGTAGATTTTTCACAGATGCCCATTATCAGGTTGAGAATGTTCTCTTCTAGTCTGATGAGAGTTGTTATCAGGAAGAGATGTTGGATATTGTCTAATGCTTTTCCTGGTCTATTGAGATAATAATATAGTTTTTTTTTACTTAACATGGTGAATTACATTGATTTTTAAATGTTAAACCAACAATACATCCTTGGGATAAACCTACTTGTTTATGATGTGTTATTCTTTTTATATATCATCCCCATTTTTAATACACAACAATATGTGAAAATACAAAAGTACTTTAGAGAAAAGTATAATTCTTTCTTTTTATTTAATGGAAAAATTTTAAGAGGTACCAACTAAAAAGAAAAAGAGGTACCAGTTTGCTCAGTACATCTTTTTAGTTTTTGAAAAATCAATCTATTTTTGTTGCCTCATATAATTGATAACTTTCAAAAATTCACATGGTTTCTTTTCTTTTTTTTTTAATTTTTTTACATGGTTTCAATAAAGACTGGAATATCTTTGTTATACTGATACTTCCTCAGTGGTAATGCAATATGGACTGGCACAGTATGCAATCTGACAATGTATCTAGAAACCAGGCGTGGCTTTTTAGATTTGTAGGAATTTCAAAGAACTTCTAAAAGCTCTGTAGCTGCTGCTCACAAACATATCCAATTTTGGTCAGGGAAGATATACTTAAAATACTTCTAAAAGTATTTTAAAATAGTTTGAAGCTTCTAAAAGCTTCTAGTCACCTACTGTTACCTTTTTTTAAGCATTAAATGATTTTTGATGATTTTATTATTTTTCTTAAAGCAAACCCTAATCTTTTATCTTTTGTAACTTGATTCTTAATAGAAACTCTTATGGGCTGTGGGCCGGACTTCCTCATTTGTATCTGCATGTCCAAGACAAAGTCAGAGGCTTCAGAATAGCATTTGTTAACAGATAGCTGTTCATATATATGTGTATATATATATATATATATATATTTTTTTTTTTTTTTTAAGTAGGCTCCACGTGCAGTGTGGAGCCTAACATAGGGCATGAACCCATGATCCTGAGATCAAGACCTGAGCTGAGATCAAGAGTTAGTCGCTTAACCAACTGAGCCACCCAGGTGCCCCTCAATATATTTTTTAATATGCTTCTTGGGGATCCCACTTGCAGTTCTGGCTCTTTGCTCTCTTCACTTAATGGATTGCAGTCACTCTCCTACACTTTGAAATCTAGATCAAGAGCCCACTTTATATACATATAGGAAATAGAAGGGAACAGATGTTCTGCCACAAGATCAGAATCAATCAGCTGAGGTCCTGCTGTATTTTACTTTTATTTATTTTTGGGGGTGGGTGGATGGATATCTTTGTGTGCTCTGCCTCTCAGACTTGATTCATCCTTCCTATATTAATGTTTGTTTCCTCATCTTTGGCCTAAGCTGTACCAAGGTAAAATGTAGCCTCCTGTTTTTATTTCTTCTATATCTTCAGTTTATCAGGCATTGACATGTGCTTGGCTCTGCACTGGCCCAAGCTTCTGGTTCTATCAGCCCCATCCTAAATGACCCCAGGTCTTGGTAGGATAATCCCACTATTCCTTCAGAGATCAAGAATATTCTTCTTCTTTTTCTGTATCTAAAATTATTGTGATTTTACCTATAATGCTTTTTAGTTTCAATAAACTCCATAAAACTCAAAACTAAAGTCAAACTCAATGCCTATTGCTGTCTCTTGCTATTCCATTAAATGGTAGAAAAATTCAAGGAGAATTATTAAAGGTCTAAGGAAATGTCAGGCAAGTACTTAAATACTAGTGATAGAAGATAATTTGTTTTTCATAGAAGGACACTACTTAGGAAAATAACTGGAAGAACTTTTTGTGCCCTATTTAGAGCCACCTCATAAAAAGGTATACTACGTTTCAGCTCAGGAAGATGAGAAAGTTGTGGTGATAGATAGTGATGATGGTTGCATAATGTAAATGTATGTAATGCCACTGCACTGTATACTTAAAAACAGCTTAAAATGGGGATCCCTGGGTGGCTCAGCGGTTTAGCACCTGCCTTTGTCCCAGGGCGTGATCCTGGAGTCCCGGGATAGAGTCCTGCGTCCGGCTCCTGGCATGGAGCCTGCTTCTCCATCTGCCTGTGTCTCTGCCTCTTTCTCTCTCTGTGTCTATCATAAATAAATAAATAAATAAATAAATCTATATTAAAAAAAAAACCAACAGCTTAAAATGGTAAATTTTATGCTATGTGTATTTTACCACCTAAAAAAAGGTGTACTAATAAGTTGCTTTTTAAGATTTATGTTAAAACACTCTTTTAAGCAAAGGGACACCCTCATTTCTTTTTAGATTAAAATTTTTTTTAATTTTTTAAAGATTTTATTTATTCATAAGAGATACAGAGAGAGAGGTAGAGACACAGGCAGAGAGAGAAGCAGGCTCCAAGCAGAGAGCCGGAAGTGGGACTCAATCCCGGTACTCCAGGATCACACATTCTGAGCCCAAGGCAGACGTTCAACTGCTGAGGCATCCAGGCATCCCGACATCCTCATTTCTGAAAATACTTACGTTAATAAATATTCCCAGAAACTGAGATTTTTTTCTTTTTTTTTCCTTTTTAAAATTTTATTTATTTATTCATGATAGAGAAAGAGAGAGAGAGAGAGGCAGAGGGAGAAGCAGGCTCCACGCAGGGAGCCCGACGCGGGACTCAATCCCGGGGCTCCAGGATCACGCCCCGGGCCAAAGGCAGACGCTGAACCGTCGAGCCACCCAGGGATTCCCTGAGACTTTTTCTAAATCACTTAACAAAATCCATGAACTTCTCGGACTACCGGATATGCTGCAGAAAGAGCTTTTTAAGAAAGTAAAAGGGTACTTTTTAGCCATTGCTATTGGGTCTTCTTGTTACAAAATTATCATCCAAAACATGCTTAGAAGTTTTCCTGATTTTGAAAAATGGAGTTCTTAAATGATGCCTCTAAAACTGGAGATCTTGATTACAAATAGTTCCACAAAACCAAAATCTTGAGGGCAAGGGTATTTTATTTTTTTTTATATTTACTTATGATAGAGAGAGAGAGAGAGAGAGAGAGAGAGAGAGAGAGAGAGAGAGAGAGAGAGAGAGAGGCAGAGACACAGGCAGAGGGAAAAGCAGGCTCCATGCACCGGGAGCCCGACGTGGGATTCGATCCCGGGTCTCCAGGATCGCGCCCTGGGCCAAAGGCAGGCGCCAAACCGCTGCGCCACCCAGGGATCCCGCAAGGGTATTTTAATAATTGTGCAATTGCCAGAACCAGGCAGTAGGTGGCATTTTTGTAGGTATTCAGCGCTTTTGGAATAAGATTCTGAGCTGAGGAATACAGAAAAAACCCGGAAATTAGCACGTTTTAAAATCAATTGGGATATGATCAATAAAACTGGCAATACAAGGTTTAAATGAAGAGACAGAAGACTCAGCAATTCCTATCCTGAATCTTGTTATGTTTAAGTATGAAGCTACCTGTCTGGTTTTCTCTACTTTTCCAGGCTAAACTTCACTATCAGTTGCTCAAGTTAATTTCAGTTTGGCATCTTAGCTAAAATGATTCTCCCCAGTGGGTAATAATAATAATACCCTAACCTACTGACTGACGCTACCATCATAAAGAAAGAGAGTTCTAGGCAGATGTTTGGAAGTCATTAGCACACAGGAATATTTCAAGTCCTGAGTCTGGAAGAAAATAAAGTCAGGATTCAACGTTTAGAAGTACAGAGGTTCGGTATAGCTCCCAAACAAGGAATATCTTATTTTTTCGTGTTTCACCAGGCCTCAATTTGCCAAAACAGATCTAACCATTCTTCAATAAGTAGACCTAATCGCTACACCTTTCCGATTCTAACTTGTGCTTTTTAGTAACACTTAATAATCAAAGTCTTGTCTCCCCCTTCTCTCTCCCTGGAAAAACTACTATCAAATTGATGATTCACTTTAAATTTGAGAAAATAAATAAATCCATTAGCTACAGGTGAGCTTGCTTGCAGGGTAAAAGCTTCCTGCTCCACAGACTGAAACTTATTTTGCAATGTGTTTTCAGGTAGTATCTTTACTGAAAATCACAAGCTTGTGGGAGTAATAGGGGCGAGGGGGAGGGCCGGGGTGGGGGTGGGGACGAAACCCCCCTCTCCTTTTCCTTCGAAAAGGGTTAGGCACAAGGAGCCTCTAGTGGCTTGTCTGAAGTCTGCAGCTCAATCACAAACAACCTAGGGCCAGGTCTTCCCGCACCCAATTCCAAACTGGACTCTGAAGCTGCTACGGTTTGAGATGTGCCCCCCACGACCTCTCCTATAGCCGAGCAGGGACCAGCACAGCGACCCCTAGGAGGCCGAAGCCTCATCCTGTCTTAAGTCCCCAAGGTCAGGGGCCACGGCACATCCTGGCCCCAACCGCCTGCGCCTGGCGCTGGTCGCTTACGGGTAGTTCGCATCCACTCAATCAGCGCTGGGAGGTCTGCCGGAGCCACCGTACGCAGCAGCTGCAGGACGGCTCCCCGAGCCGAGCGGAATTCCATGTTGAAGCACAAAACAGCGTAGGGGAAGGTTCGCAACGCGCACGCGCAGGCAGAGACCGGTCCCCAAGCCAGATCCGACGCCGCGGAACCTGCCCCCCCCCCCTCCACCGCGCGCTGCGAAATCCCTAAGCCCCGCCCCCTCGTCGAGCTCTCAAGTGCTCCTGGGGAGGAATCCCCACTCAATGGCACCATCTCATCCTTCCCCTCTTAGCTGGCAGGGCACAGCGTAACCACTTTTTCTTAAAGTGACTGATGCCGGAACTCTTTCCTGAGATCGCATCCCTAGAGGGCATCCTATCTTGTCACTTTGCTGTCGCAGTGATGGAGCGCTAGGAAACGGAATGTCAGAAAGCTAGTCGAAGCAAAGAAACATCTCAATAAACCTTCTCGGTAAAAGCACTGAAAGAATGCGGCAGGTGCCCCGGAAGCGGAAGTGTATCCTTTTCATGAAAGGCTGGACTTCGCGGAGTGGTGACGTTTCCTCATTGGGCGGAAGGTTCGGTGGCAATCGTCGGTCTTCCAGCTGGTGGGAGTTGGCGTCGCTGTGCTGGGCGCTGGAGCCCTAGTTTGTATAGTTTGGGAAGTCGGGCTTTGGAGTCGCACCTGTCTGACCCCTGATTTCCTTGGTTTCCTTCCGCGGCGCGGGGGCCTCGCGAAAGAATCCCCGGCCCCTTTGGGCCGCAGCGGTAGCGGTGCTTTTTTGCGGTAAGTGTCTTGCTTTTTCCCGCCCCCGACTAGGGACTGGCAGCTAGGGGCAGCCTCAGCCCTGCTCGGGGGCTAGAGACTCCGGAGAGAGTCGGCCACCGGCTCTCGTCACCGAGACTGAGGTGCGTTGGCTCTCTTTCATCTCGTGTGCTTCATCAGAAGTTTTATTAAAAGATGCACTGTGACCCTTTTAAGTTGTTTTTAGGTTTACCCGAGCCAAAGTAGGTGCAGGCAATTAACAGGCCTGACACTCTGCTTTGCTCTTTCGGTCAAGACTTTAGATGCGGCTACTTTTCCGAAAACCTTTCAGCGTGTACCAGATTTTATTTTTCCCGTGTCCCTGGTGCTTAATACATTGTCCTGCGTGTAGTACGCGTTCAGTAAATGAATAAGCGGTATCAGTTCAATGCCAGTGAGGACTTCACCATTGACCATTTCTTGAAACTCTTTCTGCTGTTGGCTTTCTTTCTTTCTCTTCTCAGCTAGTTCCTCCATAATGCTTAATTCAATAGAATATTTACTTATTCCTGTCTATAGGGATACAGAAACGAATACACAAACCTTGTCATCGAGGAGCTAACAGTGCAGTGAAAGAGAGGCACGTAAATACACGTTAAAGCACGATGAGTAATGAAAAACTCTAGTAAAGTATAAAGAGCTGTGAGAGCGCTGGGAACATAGATGAGAGTGCTCCTTGGGAGTTTTGGGACCCTGAGCAAGTTGCTATTCCAGTCCAGCTTCAGTTTCCTCAACTATCTAACAAGCTCATTATGGGGATGAAAGATTAGGGGACCTGTTTCGTGCAGTGCCTAGAATATAGCAATGTTGGTGCCAGAGGAGAAAGGAATTATTTCTCTCAAAACTCTTTCTCTTGATATTTTCATGTGGTCACTTAGTATTTTCTAATTTAATAAAAACATCTTCAAGCCTTCTTTCTTTTTTTTTTATTTTTTAAATATTTATATATTTACGATAGACATAGAAAGAGAAGGGGAGAGGCAGAGACACAGGCAGAGGGAGAAGCAGGCCCCACGCAGGGAGCCCGACGCGGGACCCGATCCCGGGACTCCAGGATCGCGCGCTGGGCCAAAGGCAGGCGCTAAACCGCTGAGCCACCCAGGGATTCCCCAAGCCTTCTTTCAAACAGATTATTCCTCTCACTCCACCTAACTGGAAATTCTAGACCTGCCACTGGAATTTAGTAAGATAAATGGTAGCTTAAAAACAAAACTGATTTTCTTCTGTATGCCTTTGGAGAGTGAAAGGAATTAGTAAGGGCTTCTATCCCAGCCCCCCCCCCCCCATTTTTTTTTTGCCATCCTATGGTCTTTCACAAGCTCTCCTTGAGAATTTTCATCTACATCCATGGCTTCCATAGCATTATCTTTGTATGCTAACCATTCCCAAGCTTCTCTAACTTTTTTTTTTCCCCTGTACCTTTTGTCTCATAAGTGATATAGTTCTTTAGTTTCTGCAAATTCAATAGGTCCAAACCCAAATTTACTACCTCCACTTTCCTGGGTTTTTTTTCATTATTATATCATACATATGAGTTTTGACTCCTTGTTTCTACCTGAATTTTGTAATATTTGTATGTTCAATTTTAAAACAATAATAAAATGAATGCCTATGTGCTCAGTATCCATCTTTAGTAGGACATTACAAGGTATTATAGTAGATGTGCTCAAAATCTCAATTTGGTAGAACATGACAAATACAAGTGCAATATTACAAAACCTTAAAACTTCTTGAACTTTTACTCTGTTAACTCTTTAACTTTCAAACCAGCTTCTCTTTTTTGTCTTCCATTCATTGGTTAATGATATCCCTGGCCATCTGGTTACTGTTGGAAACCTTGGAGTCACTTTTGCCTTTTGTTTCTCCTTCATTTTCCACAACTATTTAGTCATTGAGTCCAGTAGCTTCTGCTGTCTGGGCTTGACTTGAGCCATTCTGCTTCCCTGGTTCAAGCCCATATGTCTCCACTAGACTTTGGGAGTATGATTAGTATATGTAGCCTCCTTGCTCTCAAGTTTTTCTCCCTTTAGTGTATTGCTACATTGACTCTAATTTTTAAATTATGGAACAGGTTTTTTCTTTCTCTTGTTTCCTTTGAGGAGTATTGCTTCATGCACTGATTATTAAGCCTGGCTGCACTTCAGTATAGCCAGTGAAATTTTCCACAGTGTAGATGCCTTATTTCACTCTCCTAATCAAGAATGTAGAAGAGGCCGCTTCCCCCGAAATCTTTTGATTTTACTATCCTTGGAGATTCTGATTGAATATTTAATTTTCAGCTGATAGGTGTTAGCTACATGTAGCTGAAGTAACATATTCCTCCTCTTCCACATTTTCAGTCTATGTTTTTATCAATTTCTGGACAAACTATTTCCAAGGAATTCTTTTGACTTTGTTTTAGTCTTGGTAACAGTTTACATAAAGATTCTTGTTATGATTGAACTGATAGCCAATAAAGTATATTAAATGATTCTCATTGTTTTTGAGTTACTACCCTTTGTTGCTAATTGATTTTTTGGTATACCTTTTCTGCTATCAAACTATGAAATGTTGTATTGTTTTTTTTTAATACTAAAAGGAGTCTTAAAATTTGGAAACCGATTATTTTAATGAAGAGAGAATTTCCTGATACTTTTTGACATAATTGAGTATAACCTTTGGTGCAAAATTAAAGCAGATAAGTCAGTGGTAGTATGATGTATAATTTGTCTTCTGAAGTTTTTTTTTTTTTTTTTTGTCTTCTGAAGTTAAGAGAGCAGTCTTGCCTGTGTTAAATTGATGTAATTTATTGATTTGGAGTTAGAACTTTTCTCATGCTGGAGTAATTCCTGGAACACAGTAGGTGTTTAATGAATGAATAGCTAAATGAATTCAAGTGGCATTTCCATCTCAGTCCTCAGTAGAATAGCACTGTCATTCTCACAAGGGAGCACTTTGAAGAATAATTAATTTTCCCTTTGATTCAAAAAATAATAGTCTCAGTCATTACCAAAGATTTGGAAATTACAAAACGATATAAATTAAAAAATAAAGATTACTAGTTGTTCATCATCCAGAAATGACAAATATTATTATTTCCTAATAGCTTTATTGAAATAAAGTTCACGTATCATACAGTTCACCTAAAGCATACAATTCAGTAGTTTTTAGTGTATTTACAGAGTTGTGAACCATCACCACAATCAATTTTAGAACATTTTAATCACTCCATGAAGAAACTCCATACCCGGGATCCCTGGGTGGCGCAGCGGTTTGGCGCCTGCCTTTGGCCCAGGGCACGATCCTGGAGACCCGGGATCGAATCCCACGTCGGGCTCCCGGTGCATGGAGCCTGCTTCTCCCTCTGCCTGTGTCTCTGCCTCTCTCTCTCTCTCTGTGTGACTATCATAAATAAATAAAAAAAAAAAAAAAATAAAAAAAAAAAAAAAAGAAACTCCATACCCATTAACAATCACTCCACATTTTCCCCCAACTCCCATGCCCTAAGCAACTATTAATCCGCTTTCTATCTCTATAGATTTACTTCTGGACATTTCATATAAGTGTAATCAATAGAGTATGTAACTGGTTTCTTTCATGTAGCATAATGTTTTCAGTATTTATCCACGTTGTAGCATGTATTAGTACTTCACTGCTTTTTATTATCACATACTCCATTTTATGGATATTTGTGGATGTGTGTCTTACTTTCTCTTGGATGTACCTAGGAGCGGAATTGCTGGGTCATATACAGTAACTCTGTATTTAACATTTTGAAGAATTGCCAAGCTGTTTCCAAAGGGATGTGCCATTTTACATTCCTGCCAGCGCTGTATGAGGGTTCTGATTTCTCTACTTCCTTAACATTTGTTATGTCTTTTTAACTATAGCCATTCTAGTGTGTGTGAAGTAATATCTGATTGTGCCTTTGATTTATATTTCCCTGGAGGCTAATGTTATTTTTTGATATTTGTTCATGGGCAAAAATGGATTATACTATATGCAGTTTTGTATTCTGCTTTTTGCACTTAAGCATGTTTTTAGCATTAGCAAGCATATTTACAAAAGAATTTCCCTCATTACTGCTTCCTTTTCACTCTCCCAAACCATAATTTTTGTGAAAACTTGCCTAAATTATATGCATAGGAAACAAAATCTATAGGAATGTATACCACATTGTTACTGATGGTTATCAGGGGACAAGGGTGTGAGATTAGGGGGAATTATATTTTCTACCTTTAGTATTTCTGTAATGTTTGGATTTTTACAATAAACATGTATGCTCCTGTAATCACAAAACATAAATTATTATGGATTATTTCCTTGGAGGACTAAGATTCAGAATGAAAAAATATTCATAAACTTAAAAGTCATAATTAACATTATATTGTTCAGAAATAATAATTTTAGCAAATGTGTCTAAGCCACTTTGTTAAATAAATTTACTTTTCTGTTATGCTAGACTATGAATACATATACCGTATGGAATTTAAATATATATGCTCTTATTTAGTATTATAGTCAGGAAAGCAAGTATTGGTTTGGGCTATTGATTAGTTTATGGAAAGATATTTAATGTAGAATTTAATTTTCTAAAGGTATTTACTACTACTAATATATTTATTTAGTGTTTTGGTCTAATATTGACCCAATAAGTTAGTTACTGACTTAGAAGGGCTTAGAAGAACTTTTTTATAAGGCTTTTCATTGAAATCTCTGGTTATTAGGATCTGTTTATATAACCACAGACCAGGCAAAAAGTTCTGACAGGAATATTTATAATTGTTTATATAGAAGAAAGTGGCTTTTTGGACACTCCAGCTTATGGTGAATAGTAGAATTACAGGTACGTGTAATTGGCACTAAAGATTCCTGGGGTAGCTCCTAGGTAGTGGGACAGAAGTTCAGTAGAGTTGTTAAGAAACTTTCCAATTTACTTACACTTCAGATAATACTATAGGGAGAGCCAGTTGGTATTATTCAAGAAAGCAAGGGAGTTAATATTAGGCGCTTGCAGACAGTTTTATACTTATTGTCTCATTTAACCCTCACAACATCCCTTCAGGGTCACTACCTTGATAATGGTATTATCTCCATTTTGCAGGTGAGGAAAGTAAGGCTCAGAGAGATTAAGTAACTTGCCCAAAGTAACACAGCCAGTATGTAACAGAGCTGGGATTTGAATCCAAGTCTGTCAGACTCCCAAGCCCATGCTCTTTCCAGTACTTCACACTACAGCAGGTAAGTATGATACTTGGCCTTGTGCTTACCTTATCAGTGCACCATAGACTTGGGCCTGTTTCCATTGCCTCACTATCCAACTCCTCTTAGAGTCCTGTTAGAACATGTGATTTGGACATAGCTCAGTCCTTAGACATCCTGATTGCAATGTCCTTATCAGTTCTTTCTGAACATTGCAACTGTTCTTCCATGAAGAGAAGTGTGCATTTTTGCTTTCAAAATATAATTTCCTCTCTTGTAATACAGCAATTTGTCCCAGAGTTTGCCAGCAGGGGTATTCAGCCCTATTTTTTAAAGCCTCATTCATACTATAGGAACTGTGACTGTGTAGCCAGGGGACTGTGGAAGTTATTTTGTTTTTTTTTTTGTGTGTGTGTGTGTTTGGTAGGGAACTCCATTCTCTAACCTGCTTAAATCATAAAATTGTTGTGAGGGTGGAATGAAATAATAGATATTAAACTGTATGAAGTACTATACAGTAATTTACCCTTCAGCCTTTCCAGCAGCCCCATCTAAGTAGAGAGTCCTCTTTTGTGAAATTCTAGTATACACTGATTTACTTCTGTTAATCTTTTTAGTTGAACAAGAGAATTTTGAGCAAGTGTTCTTGAATTGTAAATTACTCCAATTTGAGATAATAGGGTTAGTTAGTAACATTAAAAAAGATGTTTTGTATTTTAGTGTGCATATTAGATCAAGGGGTAGTTAATTTTTAAGAATGGCATTGGAATTTTTTTAGGAAAATTCTAAAAAGTTATAATAAGTAATGGCAAATGGATACTAATTGTACACTATCAATTATCTAGGTCATTGACTTTGCTTTAATTTCATTGGTTTATATTAGTGGTCTTAAAAGATATTTGTAAGGCCTTTCATACTTTGGTTTCTGTCTTGCTTTATTCCTAAAATCTTAAATACATTCATAAAGTTCATTTTTTTTTATAAAGTTCATTTTTAATAAGGGTTCAGTATATAACTCTGAGGATATGTAAAGCAGTGAGTTCACAGGAGAGAGCAAAAGAGGCAGAAGTCCCTGCTCTCATGCAGTTTACATTTCAGTATACTGAATACAGCCACAAACAGTATAAGTAAATCATGTGTTATTTGGTAATGGGACAATGAGAAAAAATAAAGGGAACGGAGGTTGTGATTTTAAACAAGTAATTAGGGAAGGCCTTATTGAGAATCTGCATCTAGACAACAACTAAGGAGATGAGGGAGGGAACTGTCTTCCTCTTGACAGCCTGGGGAAGATTGTGCTAGCCAATACAAAGGCCCTGAGGTGGTGATGTGCAGCATCAACAGTAAGGAGGTCAATGTGATTAAACTGGAGTGTGTGTGTGTGTGTGTGTATTTGGGAGTGCTTTACGTTCCATTTTGCATTTTGAGGCCTTTACCTCTGCATGAAATAGGAAGTCATTGAGGTTTTGAGGAGAATACTAATACCAGAGTTTTCAAAAACCCATCCTTGGAAATTGCACAGAAAATACTGTATAAATAAAGGGTATAATTAGATACCATTATTCCTCTACTGAAATGCAAGTTTTTATAATCAGGCAAATAAAAAAATTTGCTGCCAATAAATACTTATATAAGGAAAAATGTATTAGAAAACTTCACAGAAGTTTTTTTAGTTTAAAGGATCTGGTAAATGTGGGAAAATAGGTTTATTTTTAAGAGTTAACTAGTATAGCTTTTTAAAATGGAGGGTGATGTGTTTATGACAGGATCTCTAACAGTAAATTATGGTGTCATAATTAGGATTGTATGGCTCTTGGTAACACAGTGGTAAAGGAGATGAACTGAGACATCTAACTCTTATTTTTTACCTCAAGAATATTTACTTAAGTAATAATAATTTAGTGTAATGAGTACGGGATAAGAAAAAAAATTGCTGGAAGTAGTTCATCTTTCGGGTGAAGTAACCATGTAACTATAAACAATTTATGGTAAGCATATTTTTTTCAATTCCATCAAGTGTTGATAGTAATTTTTTAGGTTCTAAATTACCTAGTTTTGCCTGAGTAGAAGTGTAGTGTTTAATTTAGTATATGTGCTGCCGAAGCGAGCACTGTAGTGTTTAATTTAGACTTCAGCCTGGAACATCTCTTTATCAATGATAGGTCCTTGAGTGCATTTACTTTCCTGCTTCTGACTCTCCTCATCCCCTCTTTTTCTATGTTGAATGAGTCAGCAGTTTTGTCCTTCTGTTTCTCTTATTTTTAATCTCCTACATACTTTCTATATAGGAATCTAGTGTAGATTATTTTAGTTGACTAAATTAGATTAACTTGGAAGAGTTATTAAAATCATTTTGAACAATGAGCTTTTCTGCTGGTTTTGCTTATACCAGACAATTGATACTTAACTTGGTTTCAGAGCTCTTTACAACTTGTATTTCCTTTTAATTAGATAGCCCACTGTTCTGCCTAGAATATTTTATTTACTGTCTCCCAAATAATACATATTTGATCATCTCTAAGTCCATACATAATGGGTATGTAAGGTATAGTATGTCCCAAGCTTTTCTATGTCTCCATTTCTGCTAATGCAATATCATCTTCTTCAAAATCCTTTTTGTCGTCTTCTCCACCTATCCACGTTCTACTTATATTTCAGGATCAAATTCATATTCAGACTTCTCTGTAAAGCCTGTTCTGTCTACTTGAGCCTGTTTTTTCTTCCTCTGAATTTTTACAGAAGTAATCATTGGCAGTTGATCATAAAGTTTTATTGTTAGCTTCAAACTGGTACATAACTGTTATTAGTCAAGGGTCTCCACAGAAACAGAACAATAGGATACACACATTTATTTTATTTTTTTATTTTTTTTTAATTTTTTTATTTGGTTATGATAGTCACAGAGAGAGAGGCAGAGACACAGGCAGAGGGAGAAGCAGGCTCCATGCACCGGAAGCCCGACGTGGGATTCGATCCCGGGTCTCCAGGATCGCGCCCTGGGCCAAAGGCAGGCGCCAAACCGCTGCGCCACCCAGGGATCCCAGGATACACACATTTATAAAAAATTTATTACAAGGAATTGGTTCACGTGATCATGGAGGCTGACAAATTCCAAGATCCTCCATCTTGGCAAGTTGGGAGACCCAGGAGAGCTGAGGGAATGGTGTAGTTCCATTTTGAAGACTGACAGGCTTGAGACCTTAGGAAGAGCTGATATTTTGTTTGAGCCTGAAGGTAGGAAGAAGCTGATGGCCCAGTTTGAAGGCAGTTAGGCAAAAGGAATTCTCTTAGTATTTTGCTGCACATTCATGTACCTTGTCTTGCCAGTTAGTAGATAAGCAATGTGAGGCCAGGGACTATGTGTCATATTTGCTTGCTCACCACCCATACTCCTTGTATGGTACAAGGACTTAGATGTAGTAGGTACATCTACATACTTTATTAAAACCATAACATTTTAGAGCTAGAAAGGGCCTTTGAGGTTCTCTTGTTTTAAGGGTTGGGGAGTCAAGAACAACTTTAAATTAGGAAAATTAGTAATATACTCCTTTCCTTGGTGATTGGAAGAGTAAACCAAGGTAATGTAATATGTATGAAAAGTGAAGTGTCTGATTACTTAAAACTTTTTTTTGGCTTAGAGCATGAATTAAAATAGTTTACAAAGTTCTTTAATGTGATAAATTAGACAATAATTCTGAGTGGAGATTTCACTTTTTTCCTTCTCTTGTTCATATTCACACATATGTCCAAAATGTCCATGTTCACATTCATGTCCAGCTTTGAGGTTATATCAGTATTTCCTCAAAGTATATTATTATCTGATCTATTAAATTTGCCAATTAGTATAGAATATTCCAGTTAGGTATTCAAACATAAGGCATCATAATCAAGTGGTAGTTTTAGCTTTTGGACATGCCTATATTGAAACTGTAGGTTGAGGTTATATAAGTTGCAGTTACAGTATCTAAACATTAAAGTACTTTAATTTGAACTCAAACCCTCTTCTTTAGAAGTCTTCAATTATGGGAACTGGTATTGATTATTTTCAAATGTTTTATTTTAATTTTTTTCCTTCTAGATTTTCTTGTAATCACATCTTAAAGCTACTTCAAGATGGTACTAGCAGACCTTGGAAGAAAAATAACATCAGCATTACGCTCATTGAGCAATGCCACCATTATCAATGAAGAGGTATGTAAAAATGTGTGAAAGATATGTGATTGCACATCATTACTAGCACTGGGGAGATAAATTTTTAGTAATCTCTACATTTATATTTGTTTGGATGTAGATTTAATAACTAGGTAAAAACTTAAAACTTGATAAAACTAGTGTTTTTTATTGAGTTAACCATGTTACTGTTTAGCTTTCTATAAAGAATTATGAAAAAGGAAACAAAAAAAGCCCTGAATCTTAACTAACATGTAAAAATGATATAAATTTTATGTTCTGAAAATGCCTTAGATATGGAGATATACTTTTGCTTTCTCTCTCGACATAGGCCTAAAATGCCAGTGTCCTGCTTCTTACATTTTGAGTAGGCATGTGTAGGCATCTCACATTTTTCTCCTTCACTTTTATTTAGCACTCTCATAAAAGGCTAGTATCTTCATGTTGTCTACTTTGATTCATTTTCTCTGAAATCTTCATTCAGTTTTGTTTTGTTTAGATTTTGTAAGCTGACTCCTTATATGGTATCTGAAATACTCTTCCTCCTGGCTTTCTTGTTTTAAATTTAAAATATTTCTTTCTGGGCAGCCCGGGTGGCTCAGCAGTTTAGCGCCGCCTTCAGCCCAGGGTGTGATCCTGGAGACCTGGAATCGAGTCCTACGTCGGGCTCCCTGCATGGAGCCTGCTTCTCCCTCTGTCTGTGTCTCTGCCTCTCTCTCTCTCTCTCTCTCCCCTCTCTGTGTATTCTCATGAATAAATAAATTAAATCTTTAAATATATATATATACACATATATATTTCTTTCTGAAAAAAACAAAATATTTCTTTCTGTCATTTTTTCCCCCCAAAATCTAGTATCTTAATGATTTGTCAATTGAAAAAGTTGAGAGTCCACAAGTATACTTTATATTTTGTGGTTCTAATGGGATAGTACTGTAATTGGTTTTAGAAGACCTTGTTTAGCAACCCACTTAGTAGCTTGTAATAGAAATTTGGGCAAGTCAACTTGGGATTTCTTAATGTATAAAATTAGAAAATAGACTACCTTACAAGATGGTTTTAAGGATCAAATGAAATAATAGTTAAAAGTACTTTCTAGGGACATCTGGGTGGCTCAGTTGGTTAAGCATCTGACTCTTGATTTCAGCTCAGGTCATGATGTTAAGGTCATGAGATTAAGCCCTGTGTCAGGCTCTATGCTGGGTGTGGGGCCTGCTTGGGATTCTCTCTCTCCCTCTACCCTCCCCACTCTTCTCTCTCTCTCAGGAAAAAAAAAGTACTTTCTAACTTGGAGGTCTGGAAAAAAAAAATTTTTTTAATTAAAAAAAAATGTTATTCCAGTGTAGTTAACATACAGTGCTATATTAATTTCAGGTGCACAGTACAGTGATTCACCAGTTCTGTACATTACTTAGTGCTTGCTGAAAAAAATAATGCAGAATTTGTATCAATATTTTTAACAAGCTAAAGGAATTTAATAATTTTTGGACCATGTTTGAGTTCAGTTAGTCCAGCCTCTCAGTTAACAGCAACAAGAAAACTCAGTTTCACACGTTTATTTATCAGAAGAACCAGGATTAGTATCTTTTTTTCTAATCCCCTATCCAGGGCTTTTTCTAATAATTATTATTAATTGATAAATCATAGCTTAAGCCATTGTATAGTCTTTGGAATTCAGGATAAATAAAACAACAGCTTTCCAAACAGTTTTTTCCTATTGTATAACCCTTATGCTGTTTATGTTTATAGTAGAGAAAAAAGAAACCAGGGAGAAGAACTTGGTGGGAAGTAGAGTAATAGCTGTTGCTTGAATTGGCAACTTCTCTGCTCTTAGTACTGTGCTGCTAGGGAATTAACAAGAAGAAATGCCTCTAATGAAAAATCAGTTTTTGTCAGACCCCTTTAAGGAGAGATAGATCTGATAAACTTCTGTAGCATGTATGAAGTGAGTTGAAGATGGAAATTATTCAAGAAATATTCCAGGGCTTACATTTTTTTTTTTTAAGATTTTATTTTTGAGTAACCTCAATACCAGTGTGGGACTTGAACTCATAACCCAGAGATCAAGATTCACATGCTATTACTGACTGAGCCAGCCAGGTACCTGAGGGCCTACATTTTGCAGACTTTTTGCTGGCACCAGGGATATAGCAGTGACAAAACAGACTAAAATCCCTGCCGTCATGGAGCTTACAATTTAATGTGTAAATACTTACTTACATGAGCAACAGAAGCCTCATCTTTTTTTTTTTTAAGACTTTATGACCTTTTAACCAAAGTCCCGGGGCACCTGGGTGGCTCAGTGGTTGAGCATCTGCCTTTGGCTCAGGGCATGATCCTGGGGGAAGCCTGCCCTCTCCTCTGCTTATGTCTCTGCCTCTCTGTCTGCATCTCTCATGAATAAATAAATAAAATCTTTAAAAAAAAACCCACCAAAGTACCGTATAACTCAGCAAATATGTGATGATAGTTATTAAGGGAGGATAGTTTTCTTTTCAACTTTGTTCTTCTGCTCTGAGTGGAAATAGTAAGACTGCTAGGTCAGACCAGGTCATTTTCTTTTGTTAATTTTCTCCTGGTAGTCAAATTAAGCAGATATTGTGAATATAAAGTGCTGTGTATCAGCAACAGAAGGTGTTCAATGGTAACATCCATTGTGTAATAACTTTCTTTGGCTTGCCTTTTACTATTGTTACTTCAATATAGGAATAAAATTGTGATAATACATGGTTAAATAAAACTAAGTGTAAGATCTTATTTTGATAAAATGATTAAACATTTGATAAGATTACCTCTCTGAGGCTAATTGAAAAATTTTTTTCTCTAGCAGTGTAGTATTGTTTTTATTAAGCTATGGTAGTATATGATGACTGATCAGCCATTATTTTTGTACAATCGAAATGATACACTGGGAGTGTTGAATTTTTATGTATTTATTTGCAGGTATTAAATGCCATGCTAAAAGAAGTATGTACAGCATTACTGGAAGCAGATGTTAATATTAAACTAGTGAAGCAACTAAGAGAAAATGTAAAGTAAGTTAAATTAACCAGGTAAAAAACAGGCAAACTAAACTTAGTTTACTGGGATATGAAGAGCTAATTAGAAAAGTCTGCTATATCATGAAAGTTTCTGCTATACAGCATTTGAAAAGAAGAGAACTCATGTTGCATGACTGTGTTTATATAGTATATTTCCATAATGATGTTTCAAAGAATAAACTACATGTGGCTTTCATTTAATTATGGATTTCTTTCCATTTTACTACTCTTCTTTTTGGATGGATTTAATCATACGCAGTATAGTGTTTTAATATAAAAGCCTTTTAACAGTTCTTCATAGAAAAGTACCTTTTTATCCTCTTCAGGTCTAAGGTGACATTAATCAGCCTCCTTCATTATTGGAGAATGGTATTCATTCTTGTTCTCTTTATGGCTTTTCTGTCCATATTTGAATGAACGAATACTATGTGTCATTTCAGTTATTGTATTCTTTGGGAGAGGTACTGACTGGGGCAGGGCACATAGAGTAACACAGGCACCTTAATTAACTGCTTGAATCCTAGCCCTTGTCATGTTCAGGCCATTTCTCCTTTTCGTACTGTTAGACTGGGTAATAAATACCTAACTACTAGCATTTAAACATTTAAAACTAGAGAAAGTAATCCTATTTTTTTTGCTTTGTGTAAAGATGCATAAAATACATATGCTGTAAAAATAAATAAAATTAATACTTTGCAGTGATACAAGGACAAATTAATATTTAGACTTTCAAAAGAAAGCCTTGAAAACCTAAAACTAACCAAGGTCTTACGTCTAATATTTCATGGTAAATTCTTTATATGCACCTCAATCAGAAGACTATTAGTGTGAATGATCGAATATTTTTACATTCTTTGGAGCAGAAACGTTTTTTTCAGAGTGTCTTAACTGGCTTTTCTCTCTCCCACCCACAAAAACCATCACTACAAAGGTCTGCTATTGATCTTGAAGAGATGGCATCTGGGCTTAACAAAAGAAAAATGATTCAACATGCTGTGTTTAAAGAACTGGTGAAGGTAAAAGTATATCAGGATTGTGCTATGATTCTCTGTAGACTCCAGTGAGTAAAAATACACTAGTCCTGCAACAGGAATACTATTTCAGAATACTTTTTTACGTTTTTATAGAATATTCATCTGTATTAAAAAATATTAATTGAAGGGTTATAAACTTTTCCTAAAGGGCCTATTTTTATTATAGACTTTTCTGAATACAAAGTTCTGAGTATAGATATGATAGGCCAGTATTACTCCCATAAAAATTCCCAAAGCCAGGTTACAAAAGTAAAACTTCACTACAGATGAATTATTATCGAAGGGCCTACCTTGAGTTTATTCTCTTTAATATCAGGTTTTGCTTTTTGAAGGTTCTACTTTTGTACAGAAAGTCATTCTTGACAAGTGTTCTTTCCTGAACTGTTTGTTCATTGCGTACAGAATTCCCTTTGAAAAGACCAAATACCCTGATTCTTGCCTGGATTATGAGCAATCAGTGAAATTTTATTTTGCAAGTAGTAAGTAGAGCCTATTGCCTTGTATCCCTTAGAACTGATATTGCTGCTGGGTCATGAAAATTGTGGTGGAAATATTAGCTTTAAAAAATATGTATGAGGGGATCCCTGGGTGGCGCAGCGGTTTAGCGCCTGCCTTTGGCCCAGGGCGCGATCCTGGAGACCCGGGATCGAATCCCACGTCGGGCTCCCGGTGCATGGAGCCTGCTTCTCCCTCTGCCTGTGTCTCTGCCTCTCTCTCTCTCACTGTGTGCCTATCATAAATAAATAAAAAAAAATTAAAAAAAATATGTATGAGTCCAATGGTAAGGGAAAATAAGGGAAGGAACTAAAAAAATTTTTTGTAGGGCAACATATGTCTGCTAGTAGTCTACTGGTATTTTTCCATTTATTGTGTGAATAGTTTACTCCTTTGGTTTCAGCAGAGCTGATTGATACTTTGAAAAAGTCTAGTATCTCAGATGGTTATGTCATTTAATGTAGTCTTGTAGAGTACTTAATAAAAAAAGAAATAAAGACCTAAAAGAGGTCAGAGAATTTATCTAGTCATACTTCTCAGTTTGCAGTTGAGAAAAATTAAATAGCTAGTTAGTGGCAGAGATAGGTCTGATCTGCAAACGCCTTGTAGGACTCCTCACATTATTTCCAGTTTGCTTTTCATGTAGCCCCTGATCAGCGCAGGATGAGTGAAAATTTCTATTTTTAGGGTTTGGCACCTATAGGCAATTCTGATGCATTAACTGCTTTGTTTAGAAGCATTTATTGATTACCTGCTTTATTCTAGGCAATTTACTGAGTGCCTGCTTTATTATATGCTGCTGATAGCAGAGATAAATTAGACTGGTCCCTATACTCAGAAGCATATGGTCTAGAGCAGTAATGTGCAAAAGCAAGGTTAAAACTTTTCATAATAATACCAAGACATTATTTGCCTTTCCTGCCTTTTTATTGTTTGATATTTGCACTAATAATGCAAAAGCAATGGTGGGCAAAACTCCCTAGCATGAATCAAGACAGTAGTACCAAACTGCACTAGGAGACATTGTACTCTTTACTACTACACCCTTGCAAGGAAAAAAAAAAAGCCAGTTTTACTTAAGAACGCCTTTGATGGAGCAGAAGTTATTAGTTGTATTAAATCTTAACCCTTGGGATCCCTGGGTGGCGCAGCGGTTTGGAGCCTGCCTTTGGCCCAGGGCGCGATCCTGGAGACCCAGGATCGAATCCCACGTCGGGCTCCCGGTGCATGGAGCCTGCTTCTCCCTCTGCCTATGTCTCTGCCTCTCTCTCTCTCTCTCTCTCTCTCTCTCTCTCTGTGTGTGTGTGTGTGTGTGACTATCATAAATAAAAAAAAAGAAACCAGGTTTTAAAAAAAAAAAAATCTTAACCCTTGAGTATACATGTCTACGATTTTGTGGGATGAAACAAGAAGTATATAGAATGCTTTTTTGCTGCATATTGAAATTTGATGGTTGTCTTGAGGAAGGCACATATGTGCTTATTTGATTGCAAGCTGAGCTAGCTGCTTCTTTTATAGAACACCATATTTATGTGAACAAACATAATCTGTGTTATTCAGACTTGAATAAGATCTTCAAGTAAAGTGAGCCTGTCACTTTAAGGCAAATAATAATATTGTGGCCAGTGATAAAATTTGAGCTTTCTAGTGAAAACTAGAAACTTGTATCTCCACCATGAGTTTGACAAGATCCCAAACCTTTCTGATGAGATCAGTATTGATAATTTTTTTGATGTTGTTTAGTGAAATGTGTGAGTGACTAATACATGATGTCATAAAATCATGCACCAGCATAAGATCCATTCAAAGTGCAAGATAGAATAACAGATTTTAATGTAATGAAATATGAAAGTTTATATGGTTTCAGATTCTATATTGCGACTAATCTTAAAAACTACTATAATTACAAAGGAGTCCTGGACACCTGGGTGGCTCAGTTGGTAGAAGCATCTGCCTTTAATTCAGGTCATGATCTCAGAGTCCTGGGATTGAGCCCCACACCAGGCTCCCTGCTCAGCGGGGAATCTGTTTCTCCCTCTGCCTCTCCTCACAGCTTATGTTCTCTCTCTCACATAAATAAATAGAATCTTTTAAAAAAATAAAGAAGGAAAGGCGTCCTGAAACTGAAAAGTACTGCTGTTCTAGAGTGCAGAAGGAATAGGAGTTAGGTTTGTAAAATAGTCACTAAAATACAGAAGTTCCGAATTTAGGTTCATAGAGAGGTGAGTCCTTCTGCTGTAAGATATTGAGAATGGAGGTGAATGTAGGGTAGCATGAATGTTCTGAAAGGATCTAAAGCAGGGAGAGTGGATTTATGTTTAAGATAGATTTTGCCTATTTCAGAAGTTTCCTTAAGGCTAAGCCTGCGCCTTGGAAAGAGATGACAAAATGTGTTCTCTTTTCTTCCCTTCTCATGGCTTTCCTTGAAATTCAGTTATAATACGGACTATGTGATCTTTATGGTATGGTCTGTCATGAGCTCTAAAAACTTTCTCTTAAGGACTAAGTTTAGGCTTTGTGGGCCATATGATTTCTGTTGCAGCTACCTAGCTCTGCTGTTGTAGTATAGAAGTAGTAAATGAATGGGCATGGCTATGTTGCATAAAAACTTTATTCTTATGTAGTTTGCTGGTCTCTGGTTTAGGACATTAACTGCAATTATGGCTTTATTATCATGTGGAGATATGTGCTGTCTGCTCTAAACAACTGACCTGCAAATGAATTATTTTTTTAAATGAACTTTAAAAAGGCTTCATGCTTATTAGTTTGTGGGCTGTCCATATACAAACCTTAATTTCCTACTGACTCATGGAATTGGTGGTTATTTTTTACTAGCCCTCTAAATATAGTAACTTTATAGAATAGTAGGTCTTTGGCATTGGAGAACTTGACATCTGACTGACCTGGAAAGTCTTTCACATGTAATTTGTAATTTTGCTCATACATAAACAGTCATTGAACATGAAGATAGGTATTGTCCCAGGGTGGTAGCAGCTAGCCCCGTGTAGTTATTGAGCACTTATAATGTGGTTAGCACATTATACATTGAGATGTGCTATTAGTATGAAATAGATACCAAATTTGCAGACTTGATATGGGAAAATGGAATATAAAATATCTCATTTTTAAATGTAGGTTACATGTTGAAATGATAACATTTTAATATACTGGGTTAAATAAAGTATTAAAATTAACATGACTTATTTTCACTTTCTTTTTTTTATTTTCATTTTCTTTAATGTCATTACTAAAACTTTAAAAGTTCATAGAGTGGTCTGCACATGCATTTTTATATTTCTGCAGTGCTGATGTGGATTGCTCCTCTCAAACTTGGTCTCACTATTCACACTCCAGCTTGTTCTAAAAAAATGTCTTGAGACCCTTCTCTGAATTGGGTTTGGGAGTATAGGTTTGCTTATGACTTTGCGATACATTATTTTATATTCTTATATTTCACTGTGTGTGTACAAAGGGAAATAGTAAACATGTAGAATGGTAGGGTTATGGTGGTCTTTTATACTAAAATGTCTTTAAATTATTTTTACAATTTAGAAGTTGTGGAGAAAAGGGTTTTGAATGTAAGCATATGTTAACCTGATTTTATTTTTATTTTATTTTTGGTACATAGCTTGTAGACCCTGGAGTTAAAGCATGGACACCGACTAAAGGAAAACAGAATGTGATCATGTTTGTTGGATTGCAAGGGAGTGGTAAAACAACAACATGTTCAAAGGTAAATTATACTTAGTTTTAAAAAAAGTCATAGAGAAGATATGTTTGTATAAATCAAATTATATGTTAAAGCCAGGGTAGTATTGTTGCTTTACAGTTTTGTGTTTTTCAATATATCTGTTATGCTTTTGTAATAGCTTTTTTTACAATAAAAAGAAAGAATCCCAGAGTCTCCCTTGTGATTGTTTTTTGTAAGAATGGCAGACTTTTACATAATTGTGCTATTTCTTTTACCAAAGAGATTGTTTCTGTCCTTTAAAGAAGTGAGCATATGATTTTTGGAGAAAAGAACATGGAAAGCTTACCTTATCTCCTGTGGTTCAAGGCTCCCTTTTTCCAGTGTCCTGCCCAACATAATCCAGATCTTCATTTGCATATCCTTTTACTAATTTTTAATTCGTTATACCATCTCTTTATCCAGAATTGGATGCCTCAAGCTTCTTACCAGATTTTGTTTCACAAGCCTCAACTATGTTATAACCTAGAAAAAAAGAGAAAAAGATAATTTCTTAGAGTGTTATGTTATTGTTTCTTTTTACTTAATTAACATGAATATTATACATTTTTCACTATGGTCATGTATTGCTTGATCATTTTATATCCTTTGAATGTTACTAGATGGCAGTTAGCACTTAAGCTTTTTAACATATTTGCTGTATTCAAAAATGTAATACTGGGAGCACCTGGGTGGTTCAGTTGGTTAAGTCTCCGACTCTTGATTTTGGCTCAGGTCATAAGATTGAGCCTTTTGTCAGGCCCTGCCCTGGGCCTGGAGCTTGCTTAAGATTCTCTCTCTCTCTCCCCACCATCCCCCTGCATGTGCACTCTCTCTCTCTCTCTAAAAAAAAAAAAAAAAAAAGTAATGAGAGGTGTGTAACTTTAACTTGAATCTAGGAAAATACTATTTTTTCCTAGGAATATTCTTCAGCCATTAAACACCATTTTTATGTGAACAAACAGATAATCTGTGTAATTCAGACTTGAATAAGATTTTCAAGTAAAGTGAGCCTGTCACTTTAAGGCAAATAATAAATATTGTGGCCAGTGATAAAATTTGAGCTTTCCAGTGAAAACTAGAAACTTGTATCTCCACCACGAGTTTGACAAGATCCAAAAACATTTACACACTCACACGGGAATATTATTCAGCCATTAAAAAGAATGAAATCTTGCCATTTGCTACGACATGGAGTATTATGCTGAGTCAAATAAGTCAGAGAAAGACAAATACCATATAATTTCATTCATATACGGAATTTAAGAAACCAGATGAGCAAAAGGGATAAAAAAGACACAAACCAAGAAATAGATTCTTAACTATAGAGAACAACCTGGTGGTTCTATCAGAGAAGTGGGGGCGAGGGAGGGGATGGGTCAAACAAGTGATGGGGATTAAGGAGGGCACTTGCTGTAATGAGTACCAGGTGATGTATGAAAATATTGAATCACTATATGTTACACCTGAAACTAGTGTAATACTATTTGTTAACTAACTAGAATTCAAATAAAAACTTAAAACAGTGTAATAATATTACTTTCAGGAGAATGTGAGTTTATTTTAATCTTTAAGTAATAACAAAGGTAAACAAAAAATTATTTGCATAATAATTTGTAGTTATTAATGTTGTATTTTTAAAATATTTCTCTCCCAGTTAGCATATTATTACCAGAGGAAAGGTTGGAAGACCTGTTTGATATGTGCAGACACATTCAGAGCAGGTAATGTGTTGAAATTTGAAAACTTCTCTGTAATTTTTATTTTTAAGTTTGAGGACTCATTAACTCTTTATCTTATAGGAGCTTTTGACCAACTAAAACAGAATGCTACCAAAGCAAGAATTCCATTCTATGGAAGGTGGGTTTCTGGTTTTTATTTTGATACATACTTATGTGTCTCATCTTGTCTCAGTTTTTATTTTAGGCTGTCTGGTCACATTTTAATATCTACTCAGAAGTTTAAACCTTTCTGGAACAAAGTGGGGTATAATTAATAAAGTGTTCTCTTTTATTATTATAACATGACTCTTCTGATCCAGCCTGATATATCAGAGTGGACGTTGTTTAGTTTATAATCTGCCTATACTTTTCATCCTGCTTTTCAACCACTGAGCCACCCAGGCGTCCCTTATTGTTTCTTTTAAGACCTATCTGAAGCATTCCTTGATAAAACACACTGGTGAATTCCATACTATTTTTTTTTTTTTTGTAAATAATTTTAGAAAGTTTGATCATCCTAAAAAAGCTTATAATGTATAATTATCTCAGGTAGAGATCATTGCTTTCTTTTATTTGATATAGTAGTTCAGTTAGGTAGTTTATATGTTAGAATGATTAATGAAAAGAATTGAGTCTATATTGAATTTAGGACTTTTTGGGAGGATAACATTTTCTTAACATTATTCATATAAATGGTTTCTTAGTAAGTTAAAGAAGCTAAAATTTGAGGTAGTTTAATGAATGGTATCATTTTGTTAGTCATGCTTTCTACTTTTTGGGTGGCGAGAAATGCTAATGAACTTTTGGCTTACCATATATTCTTTATTTAAAATTTTTTTCTTTTAGTTTTTTAAAAAAGAACTGATTTCAGAAATGATTTCATTTCTTTTTTTAAAAAAGAATTTATTTATTTATTCATGGGAGACAGGTGTAGAGACATAGGCAGAGGGAGAAGCAGGCTCCCCATAGGGAGCCTGATGTGGGACTTGATTCTAGGACCCCAGGATCACAACCTGAGCCAAAGGCAGACACTCAACCACTGAGCCACACAGGCACCTTAGTTTTTTATGATTTCTAATAGGTAGATTAAAGAATAGCATTAGGAATTTATTTTTAGGATAAGAACTGATTCTAATATGGATTTAAAAATCAAAGAATAAAAAAATATTAAGGGATAACAAACAGTTGTATCCTTTGGTTCAAAATTTGTAAGAAATTTGGCTGATAATTAACTATTGGCTAAAGCCAGAGCATTTTTTAACAGTATTCTCAATACCATTTATGAAATAATCTTTCTTTTACTCATGTAAATTTAAGAAACATAATACATATATGGAGTAAAATGTTAGTGATCATTGTTTTCTCTGGAAGGACTGAAGGGACTGGGACTGAGGAAGAATTTGAACTGCATCTCTGCTGTTAAATTTACATATTAGCATTTATTTTAGGGGTGGCATATACAGAGCTATTTGTTACATAACCATTTGTCCTGTATTTTAAAAAAAATCTATTTTATTTAAGACTTTTATTTTTTAATTTTTAATTTTATTTATTTTTTTAAAGCAGTTTTTATTTTATTTTATTTTATTTATTCTTGAGAGAGAGAGAGAGAGGCAGAGACACAGGCAGAGGGAGAAGCAGGCTCCATGCAGGGAGCCGGATGTGGGACTCGATCCCCGGTCTCCAGGATCACGTCCTGGGCTGAAGGTGGCGCCAAACCCCTGAGCCACCTGGGCTGCCCTTTAAGACTTTTAAAGAAGTGAAAGCACTAAAGGTTTCACTTCCCAGTTACCAGTTTTTAGCCTGTCCACCTGTGCTTTATTTCAGTGTCCGTGCAAATGAACACACAGATATAGACAGATAATTTTAAATTGAAATGGAGTCTTACAGTACTTTTTACTTTGTTGTGGTAGTGGTTGTATGTAAATTTGTCAGCTCTCATCAAAATGAACACTTAAAATAGTACATCTTACTGTGTGTATCAGTAGACCACTAAGGAGTTGATTACAAATAGGATCTTATGACAAGATAGTGGTTACTCTTGGGAGGGAGTGTGGTGCTGGTTATGTTGTTTCTTGACCTGGATGTGTTCACTTTGTGAAAATTCATTGCATTTATAATTTGTGCAACTTTTCAATGTAAATATATTGTACTTCATTAACACATTCACAAAACAATGAAATCTTTATTCTGAAATAGACCATATACTGTTTAAGGTAATTCCATTTTATGGCATCATTGCATTCCACTGTGTGCATACCATTCATTCCAATATGAATTCCATCATATTTCTTTGTACATTTATAAATTTTAATTATATCTTTAGCATATTTAAAAATATCTGGTAATGCTAATCTTTTTTTTTTCAACATCCTCTTGCCTGTTTTCATCTGCTTATTTTCCTAGATTAAATTTTGAAATTCCTTATTAAGTTCCCAAAAGATTTTGATTGGAACTACTTTGAAATTAGTTAACTTAGTGAAGAACTGACATCTTTACTATATTGTATAGTTCAGTTTAGGAATCTGTTGTGTTATTTTTGCTTTAAAAATTTATGTCCTTAAATATTGTAATTTTCTTCATTTAAATCTCACATATTCTTATTAAATGCCTTCATACCTGATTTTTATTGTTGCTAATTTAAGGAGAAAACTTTTTTTTTAACATCTGTCTTTTCATTTGACAGTATTGATCTGTATAAAAAATTGCCACTTCTGAAAATAGTGCAGATTACAATGTGATCTCGTTTCTGGATTTTAAAGTTTAAAAGATTTTTGACAATTGTGAAAATGTAGTGAATTAGGAATGAAATTAAACTTTTATGGAAGACGTTTTCCTTTTAGGAACCAAAAGCTTACCCATTAAAATAAATGTAATAACATTCATATTATAAGAGTCTCAGAAAAAGAAGAAGGAAAGGGCAGAAAATTTATTTGAGGAAATAGTAGTTGAAAACTTCCCTAATCTTGGGAAGGAAATGAACATCCAAATCTAGGAAGCCCAGAGAACTCCCATCAAAATCAACAAAAAAGAAATCAGAAGCCTAAATTATCAGATCATTTGATCCAATTCAAGCTGTAGGACTGTGTCATGACAATTTTCAAAGAAACAACATTATGAACTCTTTATATTGGCTATATTTTTATTTTTTATTTTTATTTATTTATTTTTTAAGATTTTATTTATTCATGAAAGAGAGAGAGAAGAGGCAGAGACATAGGCAGAGGGAGAGGCAGGCTTCATGCAGGGAGCCTGACATGGGAATCAATCCCAGGAGTCCGGGATCACACCCTGGACTGAAGTTAGGCACTAAACTGCTGAGCCACCCAGGCATCCCTGGCTATATTTTTAATACCAAGAAATTAGAAATACTTCAGATGACCAACAACAGGGCATTTATTTAATAAATGATAGCATAACATATGATGGAATATTATTTAGCCTAAAAAGTCATGTTTTATAAGAATATTTAATGGCTTTATAAAATGCTTATGAAAGGTGTTAAATGGGAAAGCATGTGTATTTATTCTTCAATTATTAAAGAAAATATAAAAAGTATTTGAGGGAAACAACTCATTCAGATAAGACATGCAGCAGAATCACATAGAATTTTGTAATTGGAAAACTAAATAATGCTTTCTGCTGCTCTAGAAGTGGTTTGTTATCTTTATTTTTAAATTTTTTTTGTTTGCTATTTTTAACATTTATTAGATTTTATTCTTCAGAATTGAAATTGTGACTTTTTCAGAATAAAGTTATACTAACAATTGTCAAATTATTAGTATTCGGAAGTTTTGCTCTGTGGTTGTTGTTGAATCATTTGTCCTTGTTAAATAGCTATACAGAAATGGATCCTGTTATCATTGCCTCTGAAGGAGTGGAGAAATTCAAAAATGAAAATTTTGAAATTATTATTGTTGATACAAGTGGACGCCATAAACAGGAAGACTCTTTGTTTGAAGAAATGCTTCAAGTTGCTAACGCTATAGTAAGTAACTAAGCCATACCATTTAACAACATGGTAAGGACTTTGGCTAATTTAATTACAACCCCTTATTGAGTTTATGATCTATGTAAGTTATTTTTGGTTGTATAATAGATTCCAAGTAATTTATTTCTTTCTATTTTGGGTATATGTATTTGTATGGTAAGGACTTAATCTTCTCTATACTAGATATGAAATTTTCATGAATAAGTATCAAAAAATTTTCCTTTCTCACTTAATCATCTTATTGTATATATAATAAAAAACAAGAAACATAATTTTAAAATTTAACCTTTCATATTGACTTTTCTGTAAATTATTTAAATCAAATTAGGACATTTCCTTTAGCTGAATTTTGAAAGATTTTCAAAATGAAGCATTTAAAAATGTTAATGATCATTTAGTGTCTCTTTAAAATTGTGATGGAAATAGTTTAGGGAAAAGAAGCAGCTTCTAGATAATCTGTAGCACATATTTTGCCCATGAACTCAGTTTTGCCTTTGAGGAGTTGGCAGTAATTCTTGAGCTAATCAATGCTAATAAATTTCTTTTTAGCCATGCATTATTTTGACCTGGTTGAGCAGAGCTAAGGGAAATAACCTCACCTCAGTTTTATTCATTTTGGTTTTAATTCATACTTTTCTACTTTTTCCTTCTTACTTACTTTTAGTATTCTCTTGCATAGAATGTGATTCCTCAGATCTTTACATATAACAAACATTTTTCCTCTTTATTCAGGCCTCATCTCAAATGTTATTCCAGAGAGGCTTCCCCTGGCCGCCCTATCTAAAAAAAGTCTCCCATACCTCAGATTGTTGTACATCTGAAATGTTTACTTGCCCATTTATTATCTGTGTCTTCTGACTAGAATATAAGTCTCATAAGGACAAGGATTTTATTTATTTCTTTGTCTCAGGACCTAAATGGTGTCTAATATATAGTACTCCCTCAATAAATATTTATTGATTTGATGAATACTTATAATAAATATTTTTCTATAGCTTCTAATGATGAAATTTGCTCAAGAGCAGTAAAAATATGTATCTTTCTTATTTAAATTTTCTAGCAACCTGATAACATTGTTTATGTGATGGATGCCTCCATTGGACAGGCTTGTGAAGCCCAGGCAAAGGCTTTTAAAGATAAAGTAGATGTAGCTTCGGTAATAGTGACAAAACTTGATGGCCATGCAAAAGGAGGCGGTGCACTCAGTGCGTAAGTATTACTGATGCTGTTGTTCTAAGGCTTGGGCTTATATGGGGTTTGTGTGCGTGTGTATGTATTTATAGCTTTCTATTGATCATTTAAAATACAGTCCAGGGATCCCTGGGTGGCGCAGCGGTTTGGCGCCTGCCTTTGGCCCAGGGCGCGATCCTGGAGACCCGGGATCGAATCCCACGTCGGGCTCCCGGTGCATGGAGCCTGCTTCTCCCTCTGCCTGTGTCTCTGCCTCTCTCTCTCTCTCTGTGTGACTATCATAAATAAATAAAAATTAAAAAAAAAAGAAACATTAAAAAAAAAAAAATACAGTCCAGGGGCACCTGTATGGCTCAGTGATTGAGCGTCTCTGCCTTTGGCTCCAGTCATGGTCATGGGATTGAGTCTCACATTGGGCTCCCCTCGGGGAGCCTGCTTCTCCCTCTGCCTATGTCTCTGCCTCTCTCTCTGTGTCTCTTGTGAATAAATAAATAAAACCTTTTAAAAAATGAAATAAAATACAGTCCAGTATATACCCAAATTGAAAAAAAAATTGAAAAAAAAAAGATAAATTCTAGTGGTATACCTAATATGGTCTATAAAAGAATTTTAAATAAAAACAGAATTTTGGAGTCCTTCTGATATAGTTCTGTTTTAACAAGTGAAAAGAAACTTGAACTGTATATCTTTGTCTAATTACTTTGAAATCTGCTGGAAAAAATTTACCTTTTTTAGATTATTTCATCATTTTCTTTTTCTCTGCAGAGTTGCTGCCACAAAAAGTCCAATTATTTTCATTGGTACAGGGGAACACATAGATGATTTTGAACCTTTCAAAACACAGCCTTTTATCAGCAAGCTTCTTGGTATGTACAGTGGTGGGATATAAAAAAATCACTAAGGAATAGCATGGCTCTTTAGGACAGATTAGGATTTTAATCCTACTCTCTCATTGACTAATTTAGGAAAATCATTACCTTCTATGATTTATCTTCCTCACCTGTAAAAAATCAGGATGATGGTTTTCTTCTTCTTTTGGTTTGAGTGGTAGAGGATGAAGTATTAGAAGGAAAGTTCTTTGGAAAAGTTTTAGAGCACAATACAAAAATATGTGGTTTTGGTAATAGCAAGGGTAATGGCAGTAAAACCTTTTGTATCAGGTAATAGAGTTCGAGAGCATTGAGTTTGGAATAAAACCTGGGGCTGGAGTTCCTGCTTTGTTTTAAGTTCTTGAGGTTCAGTTTTCTCACCTCTAAAATATAGTAGGAATATCTGACCTGCTGTCTCACAGGGGTATTATCTATGTGCATGTATTTTATATAATGTAAAGCAGTATATACTGTTGTTAATTTTTCTTTTTTTGGGATCTTATAGGTATGGGTGACATCGAAGGACTGATAGATAAAGTCAATGAGTTGAAGTTGGATGACAATGAAGCACTTATAGAGAAGTTAAAACATGGTATATGAGAAGCAAAAAGCATTTGTTCGCTCTCTGATGTCTTCTCATAATTTCTTTTTGATAAAGCTACTGTTAATTTGTTTGAAATGACAAATCTATTATTAAAGTTCAATTCGTCAAATGTTTATTTTCTACATGATTTATATGCAAATCATTTTAAATCTCAGATAATCTGTAAACAATTGTAGAATTGAGTGCTTTTATTTTCTTTCTTGTAATCAAATTGCCTGAAGATTAAAATTGAGATTTTCATTGAATTTCTTGAGGTAGAACAGGTTAAATGTAAGTTGGAACACTCTTTCTAATCTGTTTATTTACAAATTATGAGTGTGTGTATATATATATAACATATACACTAAATATAAAAAATGTAGAAGAATGAGATTGAGCACACATTTTTTTCACTCCACATTTAAGACCACTCCTATAGAGAATATATGTTGTTATTAAGAGCTCAAATTCTTAAATTTGTCATATTTGAATTTATATTTGATCTATTTTTAGCTGTATAACTTTTTCAAATTACTGAACTTTAATTTCCTTATCTGTAAAAAGTAGGTAATGCTAAGTATCTTCCTTATAAACTTGTGAAGATTAAGTCAGCTGATATATATAAAATCAGAAGCATTCATCGTATATTATTATTGACCATTTCTTTTTTTCTCCAAATGATCTTACTCTTAGTTTCCATGGTTACATACTATCCTGCCTCTGCTCATTCTCACTTATCTTGTCAGTTACCTATGCCTTTATCCCTCTCTTAAATGTTGGTATTCTTCAGGGACCAATGCTAGGCCATCTTCTTTCTCTGGAGCTTCAGGTTGATACCTGTTTGTTTACTAGACCATACTTGGATGTTCATAGACATTTCAGATTCAATGTATCTGTATCTTCCCATCCTAAAGTCTCACCTCATTGTTATCATCAATGAATGCTAATGTCATTTGTCTTATTGCCAGAGGCAGAATCTTGGGTGTTGTCATGGACTCTCTTATTTCTTTCTTGCTCTGCCCATTCCTTTTCCCATCTGTCAGCTTGTCCTAGTAGTTCTACCTCCTAAATATCTTCATTCCATTCCCTTTTCTTCCAGCCTCTGCAATTATGCAAGTTTATCTCTTTATTAGGTTGTTTATTCTAAGTCTCATTTTAACAGATCTTCCTGTTTCTTGGATTCTTCCCCTTGGATCTATTTTTTATACTGCAGCCAAATGATCTTTGGAAAATGCAAGTCTAATCACATTACTGCCTTTCTTAAAATCTTTCAGTGGCTTCCCATTGCTCTTAGAATCTTGTCAAATGACTATTATTGGGGTACCTGGCTGACTCAGTCAGAGAAGCATGCAATTCTTGATGTCAGAGTTGTAAGTTCGAGCCCCACCTTGGGTGTAGAGATTACTTAAAGTTTTTTAAAAAAAACCCCACGACTCTACCAACTAGCTCACATCTTCCATATCATTTTTTTAGGACTTTTATTTATTTATCCATGAGAAACACACACACAACACAGAGGCAGAGACACAGGCAGAGAGAGAAGCTCCATGCAGGAAGCCGATCTGGGACTGGATCCAGGGTCTCCAGGATCACACCCTAGGCTGAAGGTGGCACTAAACTGCTGGGCCACCTGAGCTGCCCATCTTCCATATCATTTTTGATGCTCTTTTCCTTAACCTTCCATGTGCCAGTCATGCTGAATTTCTTTCAGGTTCTGAAATATATGTCACCTCTGTGCCTTTGCCTGTTAAACAGGTGTTCTCTCTTCTTCATACTTCCACGCCCCTCTCCCCAGCCATAGAGGCTAACTCTTACTCATACTTCAGTCTCTCCTTCTTTAGGGGCATTTTATCTGATCCCTGGACTGAGTTAGAACTCTGCTATATGTTTCCATTGCACCCTGTAATTTTTGTATTTTTATTCATTATAATTATTAGATATATGTCTTCCCTGTTTGAAGGCAAAGGTAAGTTCATAGCTGTGTTCCTTACATTTTATGTTTATAGTACCTAGCATAGTTTCAGGCACTTAGTAGATTTTTAATAAATATCTGTTTAATGAATGAATCTATCCCTCATTGCCGGGTGCTTTTCCCCACCTTTCTTTATACTTGAACAGCTCTACCACTGCTTCTGCCACCAAATTAAACTGGGTAATATACCCCTAGTCAGTCTACTTTTTAACTATTAGATCTCTCCTTATGCCTGCATTTTGCTTCTGCTCTTAGCATTCTACTCATTTCTAAGGTCACCAAGGGCAAAAGTAGTAGCAGCCTTTTTTTTCCCCCTTGGTTCCCAATATTTGTTACTTTCTTTTGTTTTTGAACTTTTCATGTGGGTTCCATGACAGTGTATTTCCTGTACTATCATGGCTTCAATGGTCACTCCTGTGTAATAGCCAAATATGTATTTCAGCCTTAACTTTTTCTACCACTGTTTAATTTTACATATCTAGCTGCCTGCTATAACATTTCCTTTAAAATATTGTACTGCTAGGCAGCCCGGGTGGCTCAGCGGTTTAGCACTGCCTTCTGCCCAGGGCATGATCCTGGAGTCCTGGGATCGAGTCCTGCGTCAGGCTCCCTGCATGGAGCCTGCTTCTCTCTCTGCCTGTGTCTCTGCCTCTTTCTCTCTCTCTCTCTCTCTCTCTGTGTCATTCATGAATAAATAAGTAAAAGCTTTAAAAAAATATTGTACTGCCACTTAAATTCAGGATGACTAAAACCAAATGCCTTTTCCAGTTATATCTTTAGGCCATAAATAGAAAATACTCTGGATTGTTGTTGTTGGTTAATTGAAGTTAAGTTAATTTACATATAATGAAATGTGTGGTTCCTAAGGATATAGTTCCAACAATTTTAACAAATGCACAGAAACACATATCCATCAGGAAATATTTCCATTAACTAGAAAGTTTGCTCATTCTCCTTCCTAGTAAGTACATCATATTGTAGGAATCCTAGTATGTCCCTTTTTCCCTACACCTAGTTTCTTTGACAGCATAATTTTTTTGACATTCATCCATTTAGTTCTATGTACCTGTAGCTTGTTCTTTTATTGCTGAGTAGTATTTCATCCATAGTCTATCATTTTCCTCTTCATGGACAGCCATGTTGTTTAGAAAATGCCAAATAATCTAAAGTGTTTTTGCCATTTTACATTTTTACCAGCGTTCTATGAGAGTTCTGCTTGCTCGATATCTTCTTGAACTTTTGGTGTTGTAGCCTTTTTCATTTTAGTCATCCTAGTAGGGTAGAGTTTGTCTGCCTTGTTTTCACGTTTTTTGTATATTTACTTTTGTCCATTTTCTCTGATAGAGTGTAAGCTTTTCTAGGATAGAATCTGTCTGTGTATCTATAAATTCTCGACTGCATTAACCATATGATCTTGCCCATAGTAACTGCTCAGGAATATTTATTGATTAGATATTTTGCAAGTATGCTTCAAGATGAATCCATGACTAAGGAAAAGATTAATTTTATTGAATGGAAATGTACATTCTCTAACATACCTGAACCATTTATGTTGTATTTCAGGTCAGTTTACGTTGCGAGACATGTATGAACAATTTCAAAATATCATGAAGATGGGCCCCTTCAGTCAGATCTTGGTTAGTTATCCAAAAAAGTTTTTTTTCTACCTTCTTTTGTTTTTCATTAAAATGTTTAAGAATAGATGCCTTTACTTTCATTATTTTTGCTATTTGGGTAAAAAAATATTTTAAAAATTTAGTGTCAAAATTAAAGCTAGTAGTTAAATGTGAACATTCTGAACAATTTAATCACAAGCTGTTGTTAATTTTATGTTTAAATATATTTGTTTTAGGGTATGATCCCTGGTTTTGGTACAGATTTTATGAGCAAAGGAAATGAACAAGAGTCAATGGCAAGGCTAAAAAAGTTAATGACAATAATGGATAGTATGAATGATCAAGGTAAGATGACAGATTACTTGATTTAGAGGGCAATGTTCTGAATATTTGCAAGTGGATAGTTTCACTGTGTTCTTGCGGACAAGACTGGAAAAAATGTAGACTGAAAGATTAGGTAGATTTGTAGCTGTTTTGAACTCAGAGTTCTGGTTAATGGATTGACTTCATATAGAGAAATGTGGAGTACAGTGTTTCTCCAAATGAGTTCTGTGGAAAAAACTCTTTCTTCAGATGATGATAGATATAGCTTGAAAGGAATGTTCTGTAGTCAAATAAATTTGGGGGGAATTGTGGGTTAAAAAAACTAGTAAGTTTATTATATATGTCTCCTCAGAGCTCTCATATGTTAACATGATTTGGGAATCTGTAAGTTTAAGCAATGCTTACAAACTTATTTTGTACTGAAACTCTCGAGGCTTCAGTATTTTTTTTTTTTAAGAGGGAGAGAGAACACGCACGAGTGGGGGAGGGGTGAGCAGAGGAAGAGACAGAGAGAGTCTTAGGCAGGCCCCACGCTCAGCATGGAGCCCAATGTGAGGCTCCCTGAGCTGAAATCAAGAGTTGGACACTTAACTGACTGAGCCATCCTGGCGCTCCTCAAGGTTTCAGTCTTATTGGAATTATACTGCTCTCTGTAATCCTGTATTATCACTACCTCCTCCTATACTTCCAGCCCATTAACATTTCTAGTTCCATGACCCCTTTATCTTTTCTCCAGTTTTTAAACACTCTTTCTGATTCAACCCAGCACGTATTCCAAACCTTTATCACCCCCCACCCCCCTTAGCCTTTCAATTCTACCACTTGACCTCTGACTTTACAAAGAAACACAGGCTTTTGGCATAGAATTCCCTCAACCTTTGGCTAACTTAGCTATAAGACTGTGACAGTCATGAACCACTCTTCAAGCTTTTTCAAGGACCTTAGATCTCCCTCAGTAAAATCCTTTCCTGTCTCCAGTCTTTTCTTACCTCCTGACTTTTATTCCCTTTCAGCATATAAACATTCTTAAGTTCACATTTTCTGGGCTCATACTTCTCCCTCATGCTTCTTTACTCTTTGTTTAGTCAAACTTCTTGGAAGAACAGTTTGTATTTTTCTCAAACTACTGAAATCTGACTTCTGTCCCTACCACTATGCAGAAATAGAATATACAAAGATTTCCAATAACCTATTGGGCTGCCCCAGTGGATCCTTTTCAGTCTTTTTCTTGACCTTTACAACACTGGCACTTGTTGATCACCTTTTTGCTTGGCTTCTATTAGTATCGTCTTTCTCCACTTTTACCGTACCTTTCTTGTTAACTCAGTCACTTTTTTAGCCTGTCCCTAAAATGAATATATATACTACAGGTTCTGACCTCAGCCAATGTTTCTTCTCATCCTGCTCATTTTCTTTGAATAATTCATCCGCATCTGTGCTTTCTCTGCTGCTTGACTGGTTATTTTTCTTGTCTCTACCTCTTTCCTGAGCTTTAGGCTTTCATAGTCACCCAAATAAGATTGTGTCTTTCTCATCTCTGTATCTTCAATACCACAAAAGGTTTTGTAAGTAGAATTAATAATTGCAGCCATATCTGGAGTATTTACCCTGTCCTGAGCACTTTACATATATTAACCCATCTAATCATCATAGTAACTCTCAAGGGACAGTTCTGGGTTAAAATCCATTATTATTTAGCTTTTGCAGATTAGGAAACAGATACAGGAAAGTTGAGTAATTTGCCCAAGGATGCTAGTTTCAGAGTGGAGAGACCGGGCATCAAACTCAGGCATTCTGACTCAAGAGTCTACACTTCGGACCACCTCCTCTCTAGATGCTTACTAAATGGTAGACAGACCATTTACCTGTTTGAAAGTTTTCTTTTCTTTTTTTTTTTTTTTTTTTTAGTATTTTATTTATTTATTCATGAGAGACACACAGAGAGAGAGAGGCAGAGGGAGAAGCAGGCTCCATGCAAGGAGCCTGACGTGTGACTCGATCCCGGGTCTCCAGGATCACATCCTGGACTGAAGGTGGCGCTAAACCACTGAGCCACCGGGCTTCCCTGTTTGAAAGTTTTCTGATCCAAAATGTAGTTTTTCTCCCTTGGTCAGTGACACTTCCATCTATCTGAGCAATATCTATCTACTCAATCACCCAGGCTAGAGACTGGGGTCAGGCTAGATTTATATCCTTGCTGATTTTCTGTCTAGTGGTTCTATTGATTATGGAGATGAAGGTATTTAAGTGCCTAACTTTTATCCTCTTAGTTATCTAATTTTGCATCAGGTAAGCTCTTTTGTTGGGTACAGAACCCATTTAGGATTGTGAGGTCTTCTTGGTGAATTGACTTTTTTGTCCTTATGTATATAATGTCTTCTTTTGTCTTTCATCTATTTTGTCTGATATTAATATAGCTTTTAATCGGTTGTTTGCATTTTTTTACTTTTAACCTGTCTATATCATTATATTTGAAGTGAATTTTATACCAACAGCATGTAATTGGGTTATTTATTTTTTTAAAGATTTTATTTATTTCACAGAGAGAGAGAGCACAAGCAGGGAGAGTGGGAAAGGGAGAAGCCGACTGCCCAAGGCTTGATCCCAGAACCCTGGGGTCATGACCTGAGCAAAAGGTAGAAGTTTAACTGACTGAGCCACCCAGGTGCCCCTATTTTTAATTCTATTAATATATTCTTGGGTGGCTCAGTCAATTAAGCCTGTGCCTTAGGCTCATGTCATGATCCCGGAGTTCCGTGTTAAGCCTGGAATTGGGCTCCCTACTCAGCTGGGAGTCTCCTTCTCCCTCTCCTTTTGCTGCTACCCCTGCTGGTGCTCGCTTCCTCTGTCAAATAGATAAAAATAAAATCTTAAAAAAAAAAAATGGAGTTCTAAGAGGAATAGTCAAAGGAGTTGGATATTTGTAACCTAGAGGAGATTCACCAGAGACTTGGTAGCTCTCAGATATTTGAAAGCCTTTTTCTTTGTGCCTGGCAAGGAGACATGTATGCAAATAAGAAGTGCCAGGCAAATTTATTTTATTTTAATATGGAAAAGATTTTCCATAATTACAGGTATAATAGAATGGCATAGATTACTATATTTTAGAATAGTGTGACATCTGGACTGAGGGTAGCTATTTAATGGGGGATCTTGTAGAGAGAATGCAGATGTATTAGGAACTTTAATTAAAGTCCATTGTATTCTGTCTGAGATCGTATGTAGCTAATGCCAGAAGAAATGCACCTTGTATTCTAAGAGTTATAAAAGCACTGGAGGGAATTAACTCATTCTTTATCTCACAGAAAAGATTAAAATACTAGTCGAAATTATATAGAAAATATTACCGTTATTTGGTTGATGATAGAACCTACCTACTTCAGTTGCTTAGATGCCTAAATTTATGATTTAAATGTTAATAGTTATTTAGAGCTAAAGCGAGCACTTTTCTTTTTTGAATATACCTTATGCTTCTAGTATATGCTCTGAGGAGCAGTTGGAAATGAGATATGGAAAAGGTACACATAGGCTTCAAAAGTTTTCAGAATGTCCTATTTTACTTAAACTGTGGGGTGAGTACATGTGTATTTGTTTTATTGTTTTTATAGTTTATAAATATAGATGTTCTTTTGAATATATTTCATGTTTAATTTTTAAAAATCAGATGCAAACATGGCAGATGATAACATTTGTTAAATCTGGCAGTAATTTTATTTTTGTGTGTATAAGATAAATTTGTACATAACTTTTGATAATATTAATTGTGTATAAATGAAAGTAATTAATCCTTGTCTGCAGAACTTGACAGTACTGATGGTGCCAAGGTTTTTAGTAAGCAACCAGGAAGAATCCAGAGAGTAGCAAGAGGATCAGGTGTGTCAACAAGAGATGTTCAAGAACTTTTGACACAATATACCAAATTTGCACAGATGGTAAAAAAGATGGGAGGTATCAAAGGACTTTTCAAAGGTAAGAAAAGTATAGACTCATCATTATTTAACATAGCGAAAGGAAAGGAAGAAATTGAGAAACTAAAATTAAAGCCAAGTAGTACTGCCAGTACTGGAAAACACATTGCCAAATTTCATGTTATATTCATGTACTTCTTGAATACGATCTGATTTATGTTTTCAGATTCAAGGTAATAAACACTAATATTTATTAAAGATAAACAATGACTTTATCTTTATGAAGATGTAATACATAGTAAAGAAAATTTAGAGAGAATAAGAAAGTATAAGAAAAAAACTTAAAACTCCCATTACCTTTTCTCCCCAGGGAATCCTATCAGTCCTATTGCAAAATAGTACTATAACTACTGCTTTAATATAACTATTGCTTTCTTCTGAAACATCATGACTATTATTCCATATTGTCAAATATTCTTCAAGATTTAACTTTTAAGCACTGAATACTCTTCCAGTTATTATATCTTTGGTGCAGTGGATATTTAGGCTGATTCATCTGCTTCTGGTTAGCCGGGGATTTTGTCTGTTGATCAGATACATAGTTGATGCTGAATGAATTTTATAATAATTTAATTATTTAATATTTTCAATTTAATAATTTCAGTTTAATGATTCAGGATATGTTTTTTAGATTACTACTCAAGTTTAACATCTTTTCATACATTTATTAGTTTGGATTTCCTTTGTGAATCATCTCTTAGGATCCTTTTCATTTGTCTTTTTTTCTCCCGTTGCTTTGTAATCACTCTTTAAAATCCTTGGCTTGGGATCCCTGGGTGGATCAGTGGTTTAGCACCTGCCTAAAGGGTGCTAGAGGCAGAGACACAGGCAGAGGGAGAAGCAGGCTCCATGCAGGAAGCCTAATGTGGGACTTGATCCCAGGACTCCAGGATCATGCCTTGAACCAAAGGCAGCTGCTCAACCGCTGAGCCACCAAGGCATCCCCTGTTTGATTTTTTAAAATATTTATTTATTTTAGAGAGAGAAAGCACAAGTGGAAGGGGTAGGGAGAGAGGAGAGTCTGAAGCGGACTACACATTGAACGTGAAACCCAATGCAAGGCTCATTTCTCATGACCTTAAGATCATGATCTGAGCTGAAACCAAGTTGGACATCTAATCAACTGGGCTACCCAGGCACTCCCTTTTTAAAGCTTTTTCTTTTTTCTTTTAAGATTATTTATTTTACTGGAGGGTATTATGCTGAGTGAAGTAAGTCATTCGGAGAAGGACAAACAGTGTATGTTCTCATTCATTTGGGGAATATGAATAATAGTGAAAGGGAATATAAGGGAAGGGAGAAGAAATGTGTGGGAAATATCAGAAAGGGAGACAGAACATAAAGACTTCTAACTCTGGGAAATGAACTAGGGGTGGTGGAAGGGGAGGAGGGCGGGGGGTGGGGGTGAATGGGTGACGGGCACTGAGGGGGACACTTGACGGGATGAGCACTGGGTGTTATTCTGTATGTTGGTAAATTGAACACCAATAAAAATTAATTTATTAAAAAAAAGATTATTTATTTTATTTTAAGATTTTATTTATTTATTCATGAAAGACACACAGAGAGAGAGAGAGGCAGAGACACAGGCAGAGGGAGAAGCAGGCTCCATGCAGGGAGCCTGATGTGGGACTCCAGGATCACACCCTGGGCCAAAGGCAGGTGCTAAACCACTGAGCCACCCAGGAATCCCTATTTATTTATTTTAGAGAGAGAAAGCTAACTATTCTTGAATGAACTACTGTGGACCTGTTTATCTAAGCATTGATAGCATTGATTACTCAATAAAGGCACAATCAAGATGAAATGGGGAGTGGATGTGACATACATTCTTGTCACACCAAGTTCTTAATATTTTTTAGAAGTTTTAATTCCTCAGAAATAATTTGTCAATGGGCAGAGAATTCACACCTTACACAGATGTATTAATCGTGAAATTTAAAAAAAAAATTGTGAAATTTTTTTTATTTTATCATGTTTTATAAAAAACATCTTTCATTCATATTTCTTAATTCATGTAATCTATTCATTCATGTAATTTATTCAGATTAGCCAGCCTTAATGTTCATTTTCATAATGAGAATTTCTGAGGAAATACCAGAATTAATGTTCCTTTGAAATAATTTTGCCTGAAGCAACTCTACTTGTTGCATTGATGATCTATTTTGCTTCCTGTCTCTTAAGACCACAGCAGCTTTTCTCTAAAGGATGCTCTTACCTGTTCTGCCTCAGAGTGCATCTCTTTTATTGGCTTCCTTTTTTACTGTGGAGTTTCAATTGAGTGTGTGGAAATTCATTGGTAAATGGAGTTGCATTATTTGTCTTTCCATTCTCTGAAGCCTTTCATTATTTTTAATAGCTTCTTAGATATTTGCAAATCTTCATGTTCTCTTATTCTTTCATATTAATCTACAAGCAATCCAGGTACTTTCCCTGTGAACCCTTATCTATAAAGTCAGGTTTTTGTTCAGCATTCTCCCATAGGACTATTAAACAATTGTTATAGCTTACTATTAATAATCATTGGATACAATTTTTTATTAACAAAAATCATAGCCCTTAAAAAATCCCTTAAATATCCCTTAATACAGAATTTCACTCGTTCTTTCTTAAAAATATGTAAGTAATTGAGATAAAGATGAGAAGGGAATATGTAATATGTACAAATAGAAATAATGTGTTAGGGTGATAAGGTTAGGAGTGATTTCTAACAAATTTTACTCAGTTCATTAAACTTTCTGTACCTTGATTATATTATATTCTACATTGACGCAAACCCTTTTTTTTTTATTCAGGTGGTGACATGTCTAAGAATGTGAGCCAGTCACAGATGGCAAAACTGAATCAACAAATGGCCAAAATGATGGATCCAAGAGTTCTTCATCACATGGGTAAGTACAAAGTTGTTACCAGTTTATAATACACAGTTAATTTATAAGGGTTAAGTTTTAATAAGCCTTATGTTGTGATATGATGAATATCTGTTCAAAAGATGTACGATTTGAGGGAAATGGTCATCTGAATTCTAAGTTGGATAGTTGTAATAGTGCTATATAATTGAGGTTTTATTCACTCTTCTGCCATCTATGTGATTTTTTAAGCAATATACTTAATCATCTTTTGTTAATGTTTGTTTCAGTGACTATTTGCCCTAGTTTAGAATCTGGGTTATTTTCAATAATAAGACTTTTAAATTATATAAGGATTTTGAAACCCAATTATACTTTTGCTAGTGACCTATGAAAAACGTTCCTAAACTTTATGAACCTCACTTTCCTCTTTTGTAAAATCACGGATATCTCATCAAGAAATTGACAATTAAGTGAGCTAATATACATGAAAGCATTTAGTACAACTTTGAGCATATAGATATTTAATAAATGATGAATTCTTTTCTTCCTGTGAGTCCTTTGAAACAACTCCTCCACTCCCCAGAATTGGTTACTATTTACAACAAGACTCTTTTGGACTTCTCAGAAAAAAATTTTGTTTAGATTTATTAACTCCCTGCTGTGTGACAGGTACTGTTCTAAGATCTTTTTATATATTATTTATTCCTTCTAACATGATGAGGTAGGTTATTCAGTCTCTTTTATAGATAAAGATACTGGTGATAACAGATATTTTTAATTGGTATGTTCTTTAAAGCTGATGACCAAATTGCAGTCAGATCCCAGAAATTTTTTAGAAGTAAAACCATTTATTTGGTAACACCTTTCAAGTTCCACTTAATAATTATCTGATTTTACCCTATTTTTACTCTAGGTGGTATGGCAGGACTTCAGTCCATGATGAGGCAGTTTCAACAGGGTGCTGCTGGCAATATGAAAGGCATGATGGGATTCAATAATATGTAAAGAAGATGCCTTAATTTAAACTGACTCAGTTGATTACATTATTTGCTGAGACCTCAAGAGTTTCCCTCCTTTTTGCAAACAGGAAAAAAAAAGTATTTTTCTTGCCTGTCTTGCCCTTTTTCTTTCTCTTCTCATATTTTTTCCCCTCTCCTTTTCTTCTTCTTTCCTTCCTACTTCCTTCCCTCCCTTTGATATAAGGGAGGAATATATAGTTTTTGTGGAAATCATTATATTTTTGCTTTAGATTTTCTTTTCTTAGATTTCACCATCATAATACTTCTTAAGTTAAACAAATCATGATGTAAAATTTAATACTTAGAAGTTTTTAATTGTCTCAAAGGCCAAGCATTACATTTGTAAACAGTCCTGATCAGTAGTTATATGATGTCTCAATAAAAGTGCTGTAAAATAAACTTCAAACTCATTATAAATTAAGGGGTTGTTAACTTCCTTTATGATTTAAATTTTTCAGTGGATCACATTAAAAGGCAGATAGAAAAACCAATGGCTGTATGTTACTTAAAACTAGTCCTATAGGGGCGCCTGGATGCCTGGATAGCTCAGTTGGTTAAGCACCTGACTCTTGATCTCAGGTCTTGATCTCAGGGTCACGAGATCAAGGGTTGGGCTCCATGCTGGGCATAGGGCCTACTTAAAAACAAAACAAAACCAGTCCAACAAGTGTACCTTTAATTGGAAATATGGTAGAATGACTTAACCATTAGTATTGGGAACTTTTGTTTAACTTAGAATAATTATGGTAATTTTGCCATAGAAAATCTCAGGCCTGCCATTTAAATTGAACTTATTAGTTTATAATAAATATTTCATATATAGCTTCCATTTTTTTACCTCATATATTTGAAGCCTTAATGGTAATATGTTTCTTTTTTTGAAAAGCCAATTTTGTTGTTTCTTACACACGAAAAAAAACTGCTTGACGAAATTGACGTACTTTGGTAGTAGTTAATGTATAGACCTCCTAATGGGAAAATGGTTACATATATTAGACTGTCACTACTACATATTAAAAATAATGAGACGATGACAAGGTTGATTTGGTTGTTGGTTACTTTGGATTTTTTATGACTCAGGTGTTTTAAAAAGGTCATATGAGCCAAAATCTCTTTAAAAAAGTAATTACAAAAAAATAAAAATAAAATAAAAAGTAATTACATAAAGAATGCAACAGATTTTCTTGTTTACTTGGTCAAAGATTTTATATCCCACTAAATTATTTTTACCAGCTAAAAATTAGCATATCCCTATAGAACATTGTATACCCTATATAAGTGATATATTTTGTGTTCTGCAGAAATGTCATCATAAGGTCCAGCTATAGAAATTTGACAATGAGAAAATATTGTTTTCCAAATTAGCTTCTAATTAAATTGATGCATACCACCTTTTCTGGGCAAGGATTTTTGTGATTTCTATCCTCAGGGTACTACTTTTCACTTTGACCAAAGAAAGAAATAAGACACTTGGCCAAACTTTATGGCTCAGGCACTATTTTTAAGTATTTTTGTATCTGGTGCAAATTATATTTTTCAGAAGCAAAAATAACAGTGGGCAGAGGACACCAGAACACTTAGTTCAGCTTCCATTTCTCTTTCCTCTTCTGTGAGATGAGGGAATTGGAGATGCTCTTTAAAATTCTGACCATATCAATTCCTCAATCTGACATTTTTAGTTACAAAAGCTATCCTTCCACCCTTACAGTTTTTGTCAAAGTACTGATGTTTAACCACATAAGTACCCCATATACCAAAATCAAATAATTAGACCAAATTTCCTATTTTTCACTATTGTTGAAATTGGTTCCTAAGCTTTTGTTACCTGTTATATATAGGCCCTGCTTAGACTACTAGCTAGATCTAATATTGTGTAACATTGGATTCTTCTGGAATTTTATGATATTAATTAAATATGTACAAACATAAAATTAGGTGTAATTCCTAAGCTTACAATGCTTATATAATTATAAAACAAAAACTCAGAAATTAATTTCAACAAACTATTGCACCAACAAAGGTCAAATTAATGGCATTTTGATGTGATGTCAGTATTCTTCTGGAAGTATATTTGCTGGCATGTAGGATATAAGGTAAGTATATACAGTGCATTGCAATTTTATGGAGTAACGTTTTGGAAAAAATTAAGTATTTTCTATGTAGTAAAAAGAATTTCAAAATGTGTTGTATACATTATTTTGTTCAAATAAATACAGTATATTTTAATGAGAAAAGTTCCTAGGTCTGATACGCAGTAATGTACTAATCTTGAATAGAAGTATAGTGTCACATAGCTAAAAAGAAATCTAATACTGTCAATAAATACTTATATACAGAGGCAACAAAAGCAGGAAATTTACTAGAACTAAAGTCTCATGCATATTAGTGTAGGTAAAATTAATATCAATACTTTATTGCAGTGAATATAGAGGATTTAAAAAGTAAGCCATAATATAAAAATAAATTGAATCTCTTTTACATATAGCTCTAGTACATACAAATATTTCAGTAAAAAATGGAACAAAGCATTTAAAATAAATGCAAAAGAATTTTAACTTATACTTGTATATGTGGTAAAACTAAGTATTTTACAGTTTGTATGAGACAGCAACCAAGGAATCTGAATAAGCTCTAATAAAAACTATGTCAGTGAGACTCATGGCTAAATAACAACAAAATGTAAGTTTTGATATTCCTTAAAACCTAGATATAATTATTAATAAAGCCAAATAAGTTCTGTCCAAAACTAGAAATCCATCATCACAGCTCGAATCTAGATGATCTTCATTGCTTGCCTACACTGGATTTGAAACAACTGTCATCATCACAATTTTGCTTTAAAATCCAATTACCGTATTCTCAACATTAAGCTTGTTGCATTAAAGTTGAATCTAATATCTTCTTTGTTTTTGAGTCATGAGTTACAGGAATGATGAATTTGTATCTCATATGTTGGGGGGTTAATTCAAATTTAATTTCTAGATAGTTGTGTAGTCTGTGGGTTATTTTTGTTAAGTAGTTGATGTGATGTGAAATTTTGTTATGGTAGTTATTTTCCCACACTTTGCAGTTAGGTGTAGGTAAGTATTTGTGCTCAGTGTTAAGTAGTTGCTAACCCTAAAATCTAGCCCCTGTCTCCTCTGACCTCTTATCTGTGATACGGGTATGCTGAGTATGAGGTAATTTTCAGATACTTTTAAAGTGAAAATACACCTTGTAAGCTGGTAATTATGGCACATTTCCTTTGATAAGAACTTCGTGCCACAGAAATTCTTTTGAGTTTGGCATGCCTAAGCTAGTGTTTACAATTTTCTCATTTTTCTCTCTCCATTTGAAATTATCATTTCAAAAGCATATATCTTTTAACTTCTCTTGCCTTACAGAGTGCTTGGAGCCTAAAACAGTGCATTTCTTGGTACCAGTTGGATCTAAATGCAAAATATTCAAGTGATTACACAGCAGTACCTGCCTGTAACAGGGATAAGACTCCTCTGACACTGGGGCATAAATGCTTTACCTTCTCATAAAAAGCAGAAGGGAGTAATAGCTTGTGACTATGGTATGTAGTTAAACAACACATGCTCAAATTTTATGAGTCTCTTTCTAGAGAATGGTTACTTATCTGCAAGTAAGGAGAACATGCAGTGTCTATCTGCATATTTTAGGAACCATGCTTGCTTGCTTTTTATTATTTTATAATTGAACAAGAGAAATTTCTTCCTCAGTGACCCAAAAGAGCCGAGAGTTGTTACAGGCTATATTCATGGGCCCATAATTTTTGACTTTGGGAAATCAATTAAGGGGGTCAGAATTTCATTTCTGGCAGAAGGTGGTACAAGAAAATATCTGTCAAATTTTTGACACCCCGTTTCATAGGAAATACAGGAAGTGTGAAATCCTTCAGTTGATGTATGTCTTGATTCTCTGCAATTTCCTCCTTACTGTGTTAAACAATGGATGGTCTTGCCCTGAGATAACTGCTATCTACCCCCCTCCAGTTTTCTTGAAAGATAAATGACA